AAAAAAAAAAAAAAATCCCAAAGCGATTTAAATAAATTTTGTAAATATTTTACTGCTCTCTTTGTATATGTAAAAAATTAAGGTATGTTTTAAAGGACTCAAGTGAAACTCAAGTGTCCTGTACATAGGCCAATGAAATAACACCTTTAGCAATGATATAATTTCTTGGGTCTCTCTTATTTATTATCTGTGAAGTTCCTTCTGAACTTCAAATGATATTTATGTATTATATAAGGAAGCGTAAGAAGCTCTGTAAATCTTACTTTTTCTTGTGGGGGTATGTCAAAGACCGTGTTTTTGTGACACCATTAGCGACTAATTTGGATAACCTTAAGAACAGAACAACTGCAGCGGTGACTTCAATGGAAGAACACAATTGAGAGGCGTTTGGGATGAATTGAGCTGTCGTCTCGATGTTGTCCGTGCAGCAGGTGGAGGGCACATTGANGGCGATACGTTCCTCCGAAACGTCGGTTAACACCACATATACACGGTGCCAAATCCCAGAAGACTGCTTTCTTCATAGTCACCGCCGTGAAAGCCTCAAATCTTACAACGTGTAGATGGATTCTATCTAAAAAAGAATGTTCTATTCGCTCGTAAGAAGAACAAGTTACAGTCCCTATAAGTATATAAAAGCGGGAGATGACTTTCAGTAACCGGTGTACAAAATTACGAATGATTATGCAAATAAACGTACAGTGAATGGAATATTTCAGCATATGGGGGTAAATGGACACTTAGGGCAGTAGATCAGAAACACCTGGAAAGCTTCGAAATGTGGTGTTGGAGAAGGATGGAGAAGATCAGTTGGACCGATTATGTGAGAAATGAAGAAGTGTTATTTAGAGTCAGTGAGCAGAGGAATATCCTACACGAAATAAGAAAACGGAAGACTAATTGGATTGATTACGTTTTACGCAGAAACTGCCTTCTAAAAGAAGTTATTGAAGGAAAGATAGAGGGGCGGATAGAAGTGACAAGAAGACGAGGAAGAAGACGTAAGAAGATGCTGGATGACCTTGGGGACAGAAGAGGATACTGTCATTTGAAGGAGAAAGCTCTAGATCGCATTAAGTGGAGGAATTGTTTTGGAAGAGACTGTGGACCTGTAGTCTGACAGATTACTGATGATGATGGGGTAACTAAGTCAGACAGTCACCGTTACAGCAAATCCTTCTTCAGTCCGGATTTATCCAGCGAGAATTCGATTACACTCTTGAAAACAGATACGAAAAATTATTTCCAAAACGCGGAAAATAGTTTGCCACACATACCGTAGTATAATATATTCGTCTGATACCTAATTTTGTACTGATATTTTATCTCGTACCCAAGATTCCAGTGGCATTCTGCTTCAGGGCTAAAATTTGCGATAGTACTTTAATCTATAACGCAGTTTGTTCATAACTAGATATTGTCACGTGTAATAGTGACTAGTATAGGGGGTTTGGATCGGCGAGTCGATTTCTTGGATATTCACTAGTCGTAACTACAATTACTTATAACATTTTAATTATTACTGTAATATAACACATAAATTAAATCTTCCATATCTGCTTGCACTAGTCGTTGCTAGGTAACGGTTAAGCCTTGACAATGTTTTTACTATCAGTTTCCTATCAACGGATTTTACACAGGAAAAAAGTGTTAGTTACTCACTTCCAATATCACTGTGTTACAGCACACACAAAGTCTTCACATTACCTGTTAAGTCTTCACAGACCGACTTCTAATTTTTCTTACACTACGAACTCGAAGTGTCTGGATTCATCTCTCCCGTTCATTCTGTCAACTGGTCAAGCTTACTGCTTTCCTGCGGAGATAGGGACTAGCTTATCGATTGGGCCCAAATGAGTATGTTTTACCTGATGACGGATACAGAATCCAGTATCCGAAACGTTGTGTTTTGAAAAATAAACAGGACGGGTTTTAGATAAATATAGGACGATGGATAATGTCCAAAAACATAATATTTGTACAAATGTATCATTGTCACAAACTTTAAATCTTATTCACTGTTTCTCACCCTTGTGACTTTACGTACAAACAACAAAGTTTCTCCGTGGCCTGCAGTCCGCAAGCGAACTATACCGACCGAGCGACCGCCGCTTGCCGGTGAAGTTAGTGCCAACCGTTGCGTTGACCACGCGACACTCTCTATCCGTAAAAGTTGTTACTTTACGTACAGCTTCAGATAACTCCCCATTCAGTTGATATTCTAAGCGTCAGTCACACGTCAACTGAACTAGTCAGCTCAACTCATCGTCTGCTGTACGCCTAAGCTACTTCTCGCTCTCGAAACTTGGTTTTGAATGAACAGGGTTTCACTCGACACTCCTCACCCACTGACATACTCGTACCTTGACGGCTTGACCACGTGGGTGATGTTTACAGCGTTGATAGGTGCGAAGTGGTAAAGAGTGAAAGTTAGAATAATTTACTTGATGGCTGACGTAGCAAATGTATACGGAAGTTTTACTGCGGACGTTGGCTCAAGCGGCTATGCTTCTAACATGTTTTGGAGAGATACGTGGTTCGACTCCTGATCGGGACACCGAATATCCTGACTGAGAGTTTTCGTGATTTTTCTTCAATACTTCCAGACAAATTCCAGGACCGTGATTACTTCAAACAGACCATGTACGCTTCCTTCAACATCCTTTACTGTACGTACGTTAAGTATTTGGAGGCGACAGCATATATTCTGAGATATGCAAACGATCGTGAAATCAATCACAAATATATGTATATACATGTACATGTACGGAATATTTGTGATGCATTAATGCTCATGTATTTAAATCTTTTAGTTAAATATAAATGATAGGATTTGAGGTTCCCAGCAGAGGTGGTTATGAAGAGTACCATCTCCTGGGACATAACGCAGTGAACTCTGTTGAAACTGAACTGACGGCTCTGCTTGCTACCAGCTTTCATGCTGATTTCTTGTTTGGGATATTCTGAAGATGGAGGTAACATGTTCATCCGAAACGTCGGTTGTCTTCCAACGGACTACACGGCGTTATATCTCGAAAGATAGAACTGCTCAAATATGAACTGATTTGTTATTCGGATAAAATAAAAGTGTGCTGTTGGACTTAAGTGTGAATCTCCTTTAATTCTGTAATCGTGTGGTGGAAAACATTCATGTCTTAATTACTAATAATTGTGTTAGTGTCCAAGTGGAACGGAAGGCCCATGCACCGGTGACAGCACCTTGTGGGATCAAGTGGCGTATATTTACGCATATCTAGAAACAAATAATTTCGGATGTAAAGTCGGAAATAATTAATTTTTGGTTGAGAGAGTTAAGCACTGGCTATTATTTTAAACTGAACTATTAAATTACGTTTAAGAAGATAATCGTCGCTTATTTATAGACCTAAACGGATCAAGGATTTTACTTAACGGTGTCTAAAATTGAAGAATGTCGTCTTCTTGGATGTGTCGCAGTGTAGATATTTTAACTGACGTTTCGGAGGAACATATTGCCTCCATTTTTAGGGTATAAGAAATCCGCGAGCGATGAACCAGCGTGAGCAGGTGTCTGTATACTGAATCTGGAGAATTCGTTTTAAAATTATAGAAATATTATTTTTCTTTTAAATTCGCTTAGTAGGGGGGGGTGGAGTCCAGCTGGGTCCACTCGACACGGCGGCCACTGATTAGAGTACTGGCCACCGTGCCGAGTGGATTATGATTATGATGATGGAGAATTTGGTGGAATGAAGATTGGCAAGGGAAACCGAAGTACTCGGAGAAAACCTACCCCAGCACCACTTTGGCCACCACAAATCCCATTTGACCAGACCCGAGATCGAACCCGATCCGCCTCGGTGGGAAGCCAGTGACTAACCGCCATAGCTATGGCGCGACCTTGTAGAACTGTAGTCCTAACACTAACAAAAATCATGCCTTTGAATTCGTTTACTTATTTCAGAAAAGAGCATAACAGAACACGCGGGGACCTATATTCTGATAGAAACCGAAACGTGTTCCCACAGCTTACTGTTGCTGGGCACATGTGATATGATATGATATTATAAATTCAATATTGGGCCACAGACGGAACAAAGTCTAAACAGCAGATCCGTATCTTTGCTTACTCGTATATTCTGTATATCCTCTGTTGAAACTCGTGATTATTATTATTATTATTGTTATTATTATTATTATTATTATACATAACTTGGGCATGTACTGTCTTCGCTCGCTTGGAAACCGGGATCGTGTGTTCGAATCCCACTCAGGGCATGGATGTTTAGTTTGTGTGTGCGTTATTCTGTGTTTGTGTACAGGTAGAGGCCTTGCGACGAGCTGATCACCCACCCAAGGAGTCCTACCGAATGTGTAAGATCTAGAAAAACCGAAGTGAACGGAGATGTTCTTGGAGGTAGGCCTAGGCCCACTGGGGCTGTAGTGCCAAGGAAAAAAAAATACATAATTTGATCTTTTGAGAACCCTCACTGAAATAAATACACGAACAGGGAACTGAATGGGGGACTACTGTATCTGTTCGTTGGAGACCTACAGTACATATCTCTCTCTTCTTGCTCCCACTTCGGAGCATAGGGCTGATGTCTCAGTTTCGTGATCATTTAACATACGGTAGGACTCCTTGGATGGGTGATCAGCTCATCGCAAGGCCTATACCTAAACACAGGACAACAAAAAGGCAGAAGAAACGTATGCACACACCAAATATCTATGCCTTGTGTGGGATTCGAACCCACGATCTCGGCTTCCGAGTGAGCGTAGACAGTACATGCCTTAGACCGCTCTGTTACCGTGCCCGGCGAGCTGTAATATCTACATAAATAAATCAGACCCAAGCAACAAAACTCACTCGCAGAATATTACTCGATAGTTCTATGGTGTATTAAAAATTGAATTATCGTCTATAGGATCAATGTACAAGAAGTTTTGAATTTAGACTCGCGTGAAGTAATAGGACGGCAAAATGTGTAAACTAGTACAGGATTTAACAAGCGGTTTCGTTTATCGCGTTTTTTTCAAGTGTGGTACAAAACTGAGATTCGAGGTTTGGCTTTGGTTCCAATTTCTTGATGTTGCTAACAAGTGTAATAATTTCCAAATAACCCGTCTGTGCTTCCGTTTTTGTGTTTCCAGACAGGATGACCTGGAGGTGATGGGTAACAGCTTGTGTCAGCAAATGGAATTCCGCCCCAGCGGTCCTTTCTCCCCACTGACGCCATATTACTAACACCCCTGGCTTCATTAACGCACCGATGTGTGTCCTGGTAGCTAAACTGGTGAATGGTATCCCTTATGAAATATATCCTTAGTTCTTAATATAATAACAAATATAGTATTTGGATTTGAGGTTCTCACAATGGAGGTTATCAAGAGTTCTCTGTCTTCTGGGACATAACGGTCCCCAATCCGTTCAGTAAACTAACGTTTCAGGGGGACATGTTGGCTTATTCTTTGAACGTGAAGAGGGGGCGAAATTTTAGTCCGAAACGTCGATGAGCTTTCAACGGAATACTATAAGGCGTTATATCCCAGAAGATAGAACTCTTAATGATGTACGTAGGCCTATTATACTTCAATATATATTAAGAAATTACACGGTTTATGTTTTCTTTATGATACAAGATATATTTTATTAACATTGAAAATGGAGAAACAAACTCTATATGGATAAAACCAGACATTCCAGTTTAGCTTTCCTGGCCTCCTGCTTTGTGTGTATTAAACATGTTGATGGAATATTGCATTCGCTCGGTTACAAGTTGCAACAAATTCTGTGGGAGGATTTAGCAGAAACGTTGTTACGCAAATTTATGGACTGCCATGAAATATTAACCTAACAAAATGGCAATTCAATATAAACTGTTTCTATCTAAAATATTTGCAGCTATTTAAAAATGAAATAATTGGAAGGCCGTTTAACAGAACTAAATCAATATCTGAAAATGTACAACTCACTCAAATATATTTACACTACATGTAGACGCCAAGCTTAGGGGTTGTAACGTATAATTGATGAATGAGTGTTATCTTTTGTGATAAGAACATAAAGGACAATAACCTCCGTTGGAGTACATTATTATGCTGGGGACCATTTTCTTGCTGAATTTTCCCACATCACCACTCCTTTAATTCTTATGTAAAACACAGTTTTTCGTATTATATTATATCAATACGATTAATTATTGAAAGTTAGGCTACAGATAATTTTTATGTAAACAGATGTGCAACAGAAGCAGAGCACTGTATTCCTTCTAAGATTTGAGGCTGTCTGGAGGTGAGTATTAAGTTTATGAATTTATGGAATGTGACGGAATAAAAGTGTGGGCCCAATGTTAAAAGTATGTCATCACCAGGGCCCGGATTTTGATGACATGAAAATATTTAAAAAATGATGTATAAAATGACCGAAAAAATCCAGAAATATGACCTAAAGGAGAAAAGAAAAACACTTCGCTTCCATGTTATTCACATATCATAAAACATGTGAGGAAAAATCCCCTAAAATGGCCAAAAATGACAAGAAATACCCTTAAAAGTCCAAAAATTTACCAAAAAATTACCTCCAAAATGAAAAAATGACCTTAAACCTAAAAACGTCAAAAAATGACAAAAAACTGCCTATAAAATTTACATTTCTGTAACCAGCAGCTCATACGCGAGATTTATATATTTAAGAGCATCGCATAGGATACAAGGAAAAAAAGATGACATGTCATCAAAATCCGGGCACTGGTCATCACATTAAGCAGCAATGCGGAGCATTTGAATGCCACGATAGGGGTCATTATAAGAGATCTGAACAGTTTGATCTGAATGTCGCTGATTATGAAGATGTAATAAAATAGCCATGATTTTCCCATATGTGCGTATGACAGTACTGGAATTTATCCAGAAGCTCTGCTTCCCGCCAGAGCCTTAGCTCAATAGAACCTAATATTTCAAGATCTGGACTAGAAGACTTATGAACCTAATGAATACAAAAGAGGCAATTTCGTTGACGTTCATAAGAGAAGTCTTGAGCGGTTCACTAACGCCGTGGAGCTCAGTCCTTCTTGAGAAACCGCCAGTCGCTCAGCTACTCAAGTCAAAGTAACATTGCGACTTACGGTCAGTCAGTCAGTATGTCTTGGTGTCTAGCCCCATATGGGGCTCATGACCAGATAATTATTACTGCTTGACAGTTATGGTCTTGTTTTTTGTGGGGCCCCCTCTCTGACAGAGGATGGGTCTGTCTTTTGTATATGCTGCTGGCCCTTTCCAGCGCAGTCTTTTTCGGGTCCGAGTCCCTTGGGACTCGCGACCATATTTTGCTGTCTCAGATTTGAGACCTCCCTTTTTGTCGCCTCCTACGACTCGCAGGGTCACGGTGGAGGTATTCAACCCCATCTCCCGCTCAGGTACTCAAGAATTTCCCAACATTTTATGGAACCCAAAGTTTTATTACCTTGCTCACAAGAACTTTCCATTGGTCCCTAGCCCGAGCCAGATTAATCCAGCCTATATCACCTCATAAACTTAAGCTGTTACACTTCTTAATACAGGAATAAAGTCCATCAAGCGTAACTACACATAGTTAAATAGGAGAGAATGAAACTTTGCAATTACAGGACATTGTCTCCATCATAGTGTACTGTGAAGTTTGTTACACTTGAAGAAAGTAGACTTCTGGGATGTGGTACCGTGTAGATGTGGTGTCAACCGACGTTTCGGAGGAATGTATCGCCTCCATCTGCTTGCAAATGTTCTCACTGTCTCTTCGCTTGCGGATTTTCTTATTTTTCTTTCTACCATGAAGATGGAGAAGATACATTCCTCCGAAACGTCGGTTAACACCACATCTACACGGTGCCACATCCCAGAAGACTGCTTTCTTCATAGTCACCGCCGTGAAAACCTCAAATCTTACATTTGCTACACGTGATGGACCCTAGTAACCATTCGTGTACATTCTATTGACATCGGATAAACATGCATTTTTCTTTCTTTGTTTAAATTATATGCTACACTTCGCATTGGTTCTAATTTCATGAAACGTATAGTGAAACATTTATGGGGTCCGTGCCTTAGATAATAATTCTTTTAGAAATATAATGCCTCTGGACAGAAATAAAACTCTAATTGCTTTTGTGAGATTATCAACATATCTATTGAAAGATTTGAAAAAGGTGTCATGTTTTCATCTACTTCGGAGTAATTTTTTTTTAATTCGCTAGTGGGGGGTGGAGTCAAGCTGGGTCCACTCGGCCCGGCGGCCACTGATTGACCTATTGTACGTGCCCCTGATGATTATGATGATGGAGAATTTGGTGGAATGAAGATTGGCAGGGGAAACCGAAGTACTCGGTGAAAACCTGCCCCAGCGCCACTTTGTCCACCACAAATCCCACTTGATCAGACCCAGGATCGAACCCGGGCCGCTGCTGTGGGAAACCAGCGACTAACCGCTTGAGCTATGGCGCGACATACTTCGGAGTAAATATCAATCATATTGAAAATGTAATTGTCAAAATTATCAGTCTTTCTATCCGGTGTAAGCTGATTAGCAACACACTGTGCATTAAATTTCATCATGGTTAAGACAGATATTGATTTTAAAACGAGATAAACTGATTCATGCGATCTATATGAAGGGTTCAAGTAAACATTTTGTAAGTTTGAAATGTAAATAACTTTTAAATCTCGTACATTTTGTTTCTATCTTCACAGTACTTCGTCGTGTCATATGACAGTCAAGAAGTGAAAATTTCTTTTGTTGACACGAACGTCACAGTAATGTAATTAAGATTTTCATGGGGAGTATCAACAGAATTAATTTACGAAATTGTTGGATATCATAATATGGTAAGGTAAGGGTACAAATATGCCGGTCATGGTAGCCGAGCGGTCTAAGGCATGCACTGTCTTCGCTCGCTTGGAAACCGGGATCGTGTATTCGGATCCCACTCAGGGCATGGATATTTGTGTGCGTTTTTCTGTGTTTGTGTACAGGCAGAGGCCTTGCGACGAGCTTATCACCCGCCCAAGGAGTCCTACCGTATGTGTAAGATCTAGAAAAACCGAAGTGAACGGAGTTCATGGAGGTAGGTCTAGGCCCACTGTGGCTGTAGTGCCAAGGGAAAAAAAAGGGTACAGATATCCCTTGTACTTAATTGTGTAATTAAGCACTACGACTTTGAAGCATATGAGGCGTGGAGATGTAGCTCCACTATCCTTAACCTCGACACTAGATGGAGGTGTGCGGTCAGCTTCATGTCCCTCTCGCTCTATTCCCTGGAATAAAAACTCAGGTATCCAGGGAGTAGGAGGATGAGCGGGCCTCAGAGAGGGTCTGAACCCTTCGGAAGAGAGAAAAATTTCTTGCCAAATGCCGGGAATCGAACATCGGTCGCCCAGCCGGTAGCCTAGTGGCTATACCAACTGACAGATATAATGTTCACTGTATAATATATTTAGTATTCTGCACTGTATACAAAATAAACATTTAAGAGTGTGCGTTTTTACGTGGTTAGAAATATTAATTCATGTAAGTTTCAGTTTATTTGGTTTGCAAAAAGTAGAGGTTAAGAAATTGCAAGAGTTCGTAATACTACTTGAATTTTTAATAATAACTCTCTTCAATCCTTAATAATGTTGTCCAGAGATGCATTAATTCTTTGACCAAAATATTATCCTCTTATTAAGTAAGTTTTTATGAACACAGGAATTCTGCTATTACATATTCTTTTCAAGAAATTATAATGAAATTACAGCATGTAATATTAACTGCAATTATTCATGTGAATGAGGTAATGAATCTTCTGAGTTCGATGAACGGCAGAAAACTCCTCTTCCAGTTGAGCGACTGTCAAATCCTTAAGAAATGCTCTGCTCCATTAACTTAATTAGTACTACATTTTTATGAATTTCAATGATTTTTAGGGATGTTACTTGTGTTTATTTTCGTGTTAATAAAGTGACCAGAATTTCCTATTGCTGCTTCCACAATGAGTGATGTGCCTCTATACTTTTGAGTTCCCACAATGCAAACCAGTGTGATTATATAATAAACATAGAAATGAATTAACTGTGAATTGCATGTAATTACTTATTGTTGCAATGTGATAATATGTATAATAAATTATATTTACTGACAATGACATTTGATTGTGAGTTATTTTAATGTTCTCCTTTCCTATAATAAATTTCAACGGAATCTTATAGAATATGATGTGATAGACAACCATTTCTAACCTGATGGACTATAAATCTAAACGTTACTGATTATATCACTTTAAAGAAAGAATGAATTGTTTGTTTCATTAAATTAATTACATAGACTTATCAGATTTATCTCTTTAGGTTTAATAACAAAATCCAAGCATTATGTTTATTAAATCGCTTTAACAAACCAACGAATAAAACTACGTGAATAGATTGACGTTATTCAGAAATCATCTACGGTAATAATTCAAAGCATAAATCCGTCCGTATGTCTGCCACCTTCTGTATATCTGCACTTATTAATGACAACGATTAAATTTAATAAAAACGTTGTTCGCTACAGAAAGGAAAACTGAGGAAACTGTTATCCCTGTTACCTGAATTTTTTCGATTCCAAGTCAAGATTTCCCCATTCTAAGCCCCACAAGAAACACACCGAGACCATAACGAGAATAAGCCCATCTTGACAGTTCTTCTTCTTCTTCTTCTTCTTCTTCTTCTTCCGCCGATCTTAGGAACGATTCACGAGCCACTCCGAAACTACAGGAATTGTAATTTACTTCAATGTACATTAATTAATTAAATAATTTCCCTGGGGAGTAAAGCGAGGCCGGCGCGTAGGGCTGACAACATTACCGCCAACTTTGAGCTGATTGTCTAGATAATGTGGGACCCTCAACGTCTCACAACCCTATGGGCCTTCACGGCCTGTTACAGGGATAGCTTTACCTTTAGTTTTACTTTATATTAATTTTAACTTTATGGCATATGCACGAGTGTATCATATGAGTGTTATGCATTGCACAAATACGGATCCATATTAGGCATTCAATTAACTACAGACGTATTTGTAGAACTACCTGATGATGTGTCCCGCGAGGACCGAAACATGTAGTAGCCACTGAAATAACTCAATTGTTAAGAATTACCTTGGTTTTTTTATTAAATATAGCAATACCTCATATAGTCCGGGTAATCGGTTCCGCCAATATCCCGGACTGTTTGAAACCGGACTAATCGAGGAACTAAATATATATAAAAATGATATTTGTTTAAAAAAAATCTCCGTTTTTCAATAAATAAAACGCGATTAATAAATTCAAATGTCTTTATTAGAAATAATTTAAAAAATTCATGTTTTTCACAAATCATTTTTTATTCTATAAAAATTGCAATATTGATGTCTGCACATTTTTCTTCTTTGACCTTTTCTCTTCATAC